CATAAAGAAAAACAACTGGGCAAGTCTGTCAGTTTCTGAAGCACAAAGTGATTACTGCAAGGAACATGACTGGGACCCAGAGGAACCACTTTGCTCTAGAGTGTCTCTCACAGGAAAGGTAAGTAAATTGCATTTTAATGTTTTAGCCTAAGCAGCAAGACTCATAATATGCAAGCGGGTTTTTTTCTTCCTTATTTAGTACACAAAACGACCGTTGTGGTCCCAGGCGTTCCTAGTGGAGACCGTGGAAACTGGGAATAAGAATCGTTGCGTGACCAAAGCCATGCATGTTTTGTGAAGAATGCGTCTGTCGATGAATTCTATCGCTTGGAAGCATTGATTACTTTGGAACATGTGAACACTTCGGTGGTCGAAAAAAAAGGAAAACTTTATTAGCAAAAGACTAACTGGTTGGGTGTTGTAAACTTTCATTGTATGCAAATGGTCTTGTGATGAGCATGCGGTCTATTTTTGGCAATGATCAAAATGAGATGCCATGTAAATCCCATTTTTGATCTCTGGCAATGATGTAATTTCTCTGGAATCAAGGCCCTTGAATTTTCGTGTATTTATACACACGTATAGCCTGCGACAGCAGACGTATAACATGCGTACTAAATCAATTCAGAAACAAATAAAAAGTAAATATCCAGAAGTAAGGAGTGAAAAACCTTTAGTGAGTAAATCCTGTTTCATGTAGAATTAATCGCCTGCTCATTTCTCGATCTAATCTCCAAGCAAGCGAGACTTAAACACCGCTGTAAGGGTGTTCTTGTTGTATACATGTTCTGCTTCCAATAGATCTTGCCACAGTTTTGGAAGCCGTCTTGATGAGTAGCCAACCACATGAGAAATTACAGTGTTTGTATGAGAATCTAATGTGAAATAATTTTCGTACAACGGCTGTCCTGAAAAAATATGAATTGTACTGAGAAAATTTGAGGACGTTACATGCAGCTACATGCACTAGAACCACTTTTTAAAATTTTCTATACATTTGTCTGCTAAAATTTTTCTTCATGCTGACTAAAATTTCCCGGGAAAATTGCAGACAAAATTAATATGTGGAAAATCTAAAGCAAGCGTTTGGAGAAATTTAAGCACAGGTACGGCCCAAAAAATTTTTTTCTAGAATCCCTTGCTGTGTAGCTTTATTTTACAATTCATAATGTTTCCAGAACAGCCTTTTTACAGAAATTATTTGACATCAGATTCTCGTACAAACACTGTGATATCTCATGCGCTTGCCTACTCATCAAGATGGCTTCCAAAACCATGACAAGGTCTATATGTAATAACACCTTTTTTATCATTGAATGTTTATCAATGTTTTAAACAGCATGCATTAACTGAAGGACTCTAATGTTTCATTCTTTCTTGTCTCTTAAAACTTAAAGCTTATTCATGTTGGCCCTGATGAGATCAAGTTTGCTCAAAATGCTTTGTTTTCAAGACATCCTGTGATGAAATCTTGGCCTAATTTTCACGGTAAGTTATCACAAAAATGTCATTCTTTCTTTATACCTGTTGCACCAAATTTCAGTTCTTAGTTATTTTATAATCAGGGTGCAAAGAAAGTCAGTTGTACAGCCTGCCAATCGTGCAAGCTATAGCTAGCATGTACTAGCCCACAAGTCATTTTAACTAGCCCCAAAACCCTTTTTGATTAGCAGGATTGATTACAATCCCTCTGTAACTTGAATTTCCCCAAAAAACAGCACCTGCCTGTCAGGCAAGTTAAGAACAAATATCACTAGCCCTATAGCAAAATCGCCTAGCCCCGGGCTATCGGACACGACCTTCTTTGCACGTTGATGATTAAGTGACGTCTTTGCTGCCATTGTCAGTGTCATTGCATAGCATCTTTGTTTTTCTTATTATACTTTTTATGTCAGTGATGGAGTTACTCAGTCTAGTAACCAAGTTATCTTCTTTTTACAGATTGGCAGACACTCNGCGCTTGCCTACTCATCAAGATGGCTTCCAAAACCATGACAAGGTCTATATGTAATAACACCTTTTTTATCATTGAATGTTTATCAATGTTTTAAACAGCATGCATTAACTGAAGGACTCTAATGTTTCATTCTTTCTTGTCTCTTAAAACTTAAAGCTTATTCATGTTGGCCCTGATGAGATCAAGTTTGCTCAAAATGCTTTGTTTTCAAGACATCCTGTGATGAAATCTTGGCCTAATTTTCACGGTAAGTTATCACAAAAATGTCATTCTTTCTTTATACCTGTTGCACCAAATTTCAGTTCTTAGTTATTTTATAATCAGGGTGCAAAGAAAGTCAGTTGTACAGCCTGCCAATCGTGCAAGCTATAGCTAGCATGTACTAGCCCACAAGTCATTTTAACTAGCCCCAAAACCCTTTTTGATTAGCAGGATTGATTACAATCCCTCTGTAACTTGAATTTCCCCAAAAAACAGCACCTGCCTGTCAGGCAAGTTAAGAACAAATATCACTAGCCCTATAGCAAAATCGCCTAGCCCCGGGCTATCGGACACGACCTTCTTTGCACGTTGATGATTAAGTGACGTCTTTGCTGCCATTGTCAGTGTCATTGCATAGCATCTTTGTTTTTCTTATTATACTTTTTATGTCAGTGATGGAGTTACTCAGTCTAGTAACCAAGTTATCTTCTTTTTACAGATTGGCAGACACTCAAACTTGAAATCGTCAATGTCTGGTTGCAAGATATTTATGGCCCGGCTGATATCATTCCAGTGAAAGACTACCTGAAGGTCAAATTGTAGTCATAGTCATTGAATGAAGAAGGCTAAATGTAGTTTGCTTTATTAGCATCCAATTAAATACCGTGAAACCCCATAATTTAATACAGAAACTGAGGGGGGCCATAGAAAGGGTCTATTTTAATGGGGTGTCTGTATTGAGCAGGTTAAGTAGTAGGGAAACCAGTTGTTTGGAATTGGACTTTCCAGTGGATAGAGATTTATCCAGTGGATAGTGTTATCCACCTTTTGAACAACTGAGGTTTTGTGAATTAGTGGGTCTAGGAAGTATGGCTGACGAAGATGACTAATATAGAATGAGAGGTTTACTCCAGTGGCACATAGTACTAATAACTTCAGGAAGATACTCTCCCTCGCAGCTGTTTTTGTCTCGTCACACAACCCTTATCCCCTCCTCCCCTCCTCTTCTGGTGGAGGAGCGTTAAGTGACCAAACAAACACGGCTGCTTGCAAGACTAACAGGAAGAGAAACTTAAGAGACTATGGGAAATGTTTGTTGCACAGGGAAATTCTTATTGGTTAGGATTGCACTAGTTCACTGCTCAGTTTGCTTCTAAAGGAGCAGTGTCACGAAATTTATCAAAATCCAAAATGTACGAACTACCACCAAATTGAGTGAAACATAAAAATAAATGCTCAGAACATTAAAGGAAGAAGAAATAACCAGGCAAATACAAAAGAAGGCTCAGACAAACTTGGAGAAGATTGAAACAGATGCATTGTGGGTTTTAAAAATTTGTTAGCCTAACAGGTTTTCAAAGTTCTTTTTTTGTTTTTAATGTTTGATATGATGCTTGGGAGGCATATTGTTAGGATAAGAAGCTGTGATTTTGTCATTTAGAAGTATTTTCATCAGCAACGTTCAGTTCCAAAGTGCATTAGCAAAGGTATTTGGCTATATTAACAAAATGAACTAAATGCTGTGACAGAGCCCCTTTAGATAAAATCTTCTGAAGTGAAAGTGTGAGGCCTCTATTACACGGTAAAATAATCTCAGCTTTTAAATGAGACACACTGCACTATACAGACCACCCCAAAATAGGAGAAATTAACCATTACAATAACACAGAGGGCTAAAATTAAATAGTAAAACTGCTCACTCCAGAAAATTTTTGCAAGAATAGTTTACATAGTTACATACATAGTTTACATAGTTTAGCAATATATTTTTATAATTATATGAATTCCATTTGATATGATTTCAGTAAACCATTTACTCATTTTTCTTAAAACAATAATTTGTCACTCTTTTGTCCGAAATTTTGCTTTACTAGTTGGTTTATTTTGCAACGACGAAAACAAACACGCCTTTTATGCCTTGCCCTGCATTACATTTGCCCAATACATAAACCGTTCGGCGTCTTAACTCTGACGAACACTGTTAAACCAAGACAATAAAGTTTTAGTCTTGGTGGTGAGATGGTTTGGTGGCAAGGTGACCGGATATCAGATAATTAGGTGAAGTTGGAAAGCAGGAAGAATTTGGTTGCTGTTTTATTTCAGAGAAGAATAGAAGGTTAGAAATGTCTTCAAGCAGGCTTTGTGGCGACGGCATTCTTGATAGATGTTATTCACGTACTATAATAAGAATGTAACCAATTTGTAAATCAATTTTTGTATGTTATCAAAACCGGATAAAAATAATAAATTACTTCACAATACTTGCATCTTCTAAAATTTGACAATTTCTTGTTAGCTACAATCATACCTTAACAAAAATACGAAAATGGTGTTTGCAATAACAGTCCGTTTCCACAAATTTTCTGCAAAGAAAAGGCAATAGGTGAGGAGAGAGGAATCATGGGATTATTCCATAAAGAGGACATAATTTCAACAATCATGTACATTGATTCTAATTTACAAAAAAAAAATAGTCCCAATTTGTCGAATTTTTGATAAATTTTTATGATGGGAGGAATGAAATGATCCAAGAAATATGGACTGTATTATTCATCAATATTTGACTTTTCTAAACATTCCTGGTTCAATATTAATTTACAATCTCCTTTCTCAATAATGTCATAAATTCTTGTTGTGTGGTTGGGACCTTTGAAATAGACCATTTTACTGTTATGGGCTTAGTACCCTAGCCTTCGAGTCAATGTGAGGCTAAGGTTGACCTTGTTTTAATGCAAACATCCTTTGTTTTCTTATGGAAATTATGCTGAAAAATACTAGTTAGCATAAGAACAACATGATTTACATAAGAAAGCAAGAAGGGTTGTGTCAAAACAAGGTCAAATCCAGCTTCGTTTCCATCTACAGCTATAAAATGGGCTATTCATACATAGAACTATGATTCATATACTGTAAGATCAAATTGAGTGGTTGTGTTGAAACACGTCATCAGTCACTACTCATCAAAAATGCCTTGAATACATTTGACACTAAGAATCTTGGGTAACAGTCCTGGTACATGACGTAATAGACGTGACGTTGCGCATGGTCATAGACCGTCTGATCTGGTTCCTCCATGACTTCTTCAATGGTCTGACGCGTCTTGTGGTCTATGCTGACCTGAAATACAAGCACAAAACTGATTATCACATAAAATTTACTAAGCTACTTTTTTCAGTGTATTTGAACATAAACGAGGTATCAAAGGATCAAAAACTAGTTTTATAGCGTACAAGCATTCGATTTCATCTTGGAATCCTTTCCACGTGATAGCGCTTGAAATTTTGTCACATGATTTATACTGTGGCTCACATCACAAGACATCCTGGTAGACCACAGGGAGCTTGTAACCGGTATCATGGTTCATCCCAGTTCAATGATTTTGAAGCCACCTCTCTGGCTATATATGAAACCTTGTTTGTGTTCTAAATGGAAGTTGTACTCAGAATTTTCAAATGATTCTCATACAGTGCATCTGATAATGGCATTCCTCATCAAATACCTTTCTGAATTTTCTCCACTCACTTTAATTTCTAGTATGGATATACATGTCAGTGAAATTTGCTTGTCTTCCCAGATAGTGTAATACCCCTCAAAAGAATTGTTTCGATTGTATTGCTAAAATCAATTCCTTCTGCTTAGAGCCAAAACTGTAGATTTACATGACATGATCCTGTGAACTTTTTCTTTGTTTCGCACCCTATGTTTTCCTAGGTTCTATTGTGTCGACTTCTTTGTTCCCTTTGTTTTACGTCACTCGTGAGTTTTACAGGTTCTTACACCGAGGCGATCTTAGAGGAGCCAACTAAACACTGAACTAAAAGAAACAAGGAAAATTCCCGCCTCCAAAACGAGAAAGCAGCTGAGCTAGAATAATCACATGCAAAGTAACCTCACCTCACTTTCTTGAGCACGCAATATTTCTGCTCTTTCTTTTTCCAACTTTCTTTTCTGTGACTCAATAAAACTTGCTAGATCGTCCGCCATTGTATAGAATTGTTTATAAGGCCAGCAATCGAACGATATAATGTTGTCAAGTACTAGCCCAATGGTTCGAACAGGCCTTTGGCACTTTATATTGCATCCCCGAAATGATACTGATAAATCTCCAGAACTCCAATAACCAAATATCCAAACATTTGCAGTCGTTTAGCTTTCACAACTTGTCAGCAAAACAACATTCCAAAATTGTTTTGGGTGATCCGCTATGTGTTTGGTAACCGGTACCCATAACGCCCTTTGGTACATGAAAAAAGCTGATTTTTGATTGGTTAGGACCAGGTGAGACAACCAATCAAAATCTATTTTGCATTTTGCAGCTGTGAGAGTCTCGTCATTTTTTGATCCATCTATCATCCATGACATGAGAGTTCGTGTTGGGAAGGAGTGCTCTTCCGCGTTGAAATTCAGTGTGCGAACAACGGGCATTTGATTTGTAATGGATTTTTACAAGGATAAAGCCAAGCTGATTGATAAGCTCCTGGAGGAAGGTCCTACTTCCACGGAAGAGGAGGACGAAGCTCTGGTGACTTTAAAACGAGAAAGTCATATGCGCAACAAGTTTTTTGCCTGCCATTTTGTTGTATTGGTACTTGTGCTAGTACTGGGAATGTGTTTGTTTGCGCGTGTAGCTTACTATGGTTTTCAAACCACGGGATATGATCAGCAGTCACTGAACGGAGGTTTGTTTATCCTTATATTGGGCCATTCCATTTATTGTCGGCTCCCACTTTGTTGAAGGTAGTTTTATATTCAGAGATGCCAACCTCGGTTCTTTAATCCCGCCATCCCTACCAAAATTTTCCCATTATCCCGAAATCCCGCACGTTTCCATCGGCCAATCCCGATCCCGTCACATCATTTCCCGGGGGGGTGGGGGGGCGGGGTTATTTATTTCAACACCATTTGAGGGGGAGCCTTAGTAGCGACAGTCGGGGCTTATTTGAGAGGGGGTTTGATGTGTACTATGAATCTTAAACTCTCTTGTTTTCAGTCACATCCGTAAAAAGTGTTTTCAGCCTTTTGAGTAATTAATCTTAGCAATGGCTTAGGATATACCGTAATTCTGTGGTAGCGAATAGTAACAAAGGGCATAATCAAGAGGCCTATGTGTAACTGGATCTTATTACGGCAAAGTTCATGACAAAGGTCGTGCCATAGGGGTCACAAAAGCCACATGTCAGTGTGGTGTCCAATGCTCAGCTTAAATTTGGGTTTGTTTCCGTCATTGCTGACAGCGAAAGTTGAGTTTACTTTAAAATTTTTGCCATCTGAAACCCTGGATCTCCGGGCTTTAAGGCAACGATTTCCTGGATCCTGCTTCGTAATAACGCATCCCGTCCATAAATGTAATCCCGAATCCGCGCCCAGGCCCGCACCCATATTTCTCTATCCTGAATCCGGGGCTCCAAAAAAGGCAAATCCCAGATCCTGAAAAACCTATTGAGGACCCTTAACCTCTGGAGATCTAAAATCTGGAGACTCCCTATTTTGCACTACACCCCAACTCCCCGAATGTCAACAGCCCTACTACCCCCTCCCACAAATTTGACCCAGCTACCTTGGCTTAGGACATTATATGAAGTCGTAAATGAAGTACATGCCATCAAAATTGGCTTTCATCATTCTACTAACAAAATAATCTTTGTCAGTGACAAAATAAGAGCAAAAATGTCCCAGAAATTGTACAATGAAGAAAAAAAAACCTATATGAATTTTGAGGGAAAAAAATGGCCGAAATTTCAAACTAAAGCACAGATAATCTCAAAAGTCCATTTTATCTGGGAGATTTGGTGACCCGTTGGGGAGAGTGGGAGATCAGTGCCATATCTGGGAGACTCCCGGATAGTCCAGGAGAGTTGGCATATGTAGATCCATCTTATTGGAAGAGTCAATAAATAATACAGACACTTTTGTTATTTCATGATATGGTATAATAAGTGGCCCTTTTAAGCTATAGGAGCTCATAGGGACTGTTATTCACTGATTTCAGTGGTTAATTCCTTAAGTTAGCTGAAATTTTTTATTTTTATACCTGCCAACTGTTACTCTTGGAACAACTGGGTAAAAGTTGATTTTTCTATGGCTATTTTTTATTGTTTTAATTCAGGTTATTATGAGCTTGAAATCTTTCAAGATGAGGACAAGCCACATTACAGTACAAGGGATAGGCCTCTACACCAGATGAGGGGCAGGATTTACTAGTAGGTTTATTTTGCAAGGACCAAAACGAACACGCCTTTTACGCCTTGCCCTGCGTTACATTTGCCCAATACATAAACCGTTCGGCATCTTAACTCTGACGAACACTGTTAAACCAATCAGATAAATGGTTTACCGTCATCTTGCCACCAAACTTTCTCACCAACCAAGAAGACGACTTGCCACCAACGAACAACTCTGAAGCAGTTGACACAGTTTAATACCTAGGAGTACTTAACTAAGATTTTTACTTTTTCATCAAGCTTAGTATTTGAATTTGACTTCGACCCAAATGCGAATCTGTCGATCCTAATTGACGATCCTTGTGTCGAACTTCTCTCATGCTCCCAGTTGAGAGATTAAAAAAAGGGCCGAACAGTTTCATAATCACCTGTCATTTCTTTGAAATATGACAAAGAAACGGTTAAGAGAAAATGGCTGTTCATGAAAGTTCTTTTCATTTGTTGTGTATATGTATGGCTTTTTAAGACAATAAAGTTTTAGTCTTGGTGGTGAGATGGTTTGGTGGCAAGGTGACCGGATATCAGATAATTAGGTGAAGTTGGAAAGCAGGAAGAATTTGGTTGCTGTTTTATTTCAGAGAAGAATCAAAGGTTAGAAATGTCTTCAAGCAGGTTTTGTGGCGACGGCATTCTTAATAGATTTTATTCACGTACTATAATAAGAATGTAACCAATTTGTAAATCAATTTTTGTATGTTATCAAAACTGGATAAAAATAATAAATTACTTCACAATACTTGCGTCTTCTAAAATTTGACAATTTCTTGTTAGTTACAATCATACCTTAAGAAAAATATGAAAGTGGTGTTTGCAATAACAGTCTGTTTCCGCAAATTTTCTGCAAAGAAAAGGCAATAGGCAAGGAGAGAGGAATCATGGGATTATTCGATAAAGAGGACGCAATTTCAACAATCGTGTACATTGATTCTAATTTACAAAAAAAAAATAGTCCCAATTTGTCAAATTTTTGATAAATTTTTATGATGGGAGGAATGAAATGATCCGAGAAGTATGGACTATATTATTCATCAATATTTCACTTTTCTAAACATTCCTGGTTCAATATTAATTTACAATCTCCTTTCTCAATAACGTCATAAATTCTTGTTGTGTGGTTGGGACCATTTTACTGTTATGGGCTTAGTACCCTAGCCTTCGAGTCAATGTGAGGCTAAGGTTGACCTTGTTTTAATGCAAACCCCCTTTGTTTTCTTATGGAAATTATGCTGAAAAATACTAGTTAGCATAAGAACAACATGATTTACATAAGAAAGCAAGAAGGGTTGTGTCAAAACGAGGTCAACTCCAGCTCCGTTTCCATCTACAGCTATAAAATGGTCTATTCACATACTGTAAGAGCCAATTGAGTGGTTGTGTTGAAACACATCATCAGTCGCTACTCATCAAAAGTCCCTTGAATACATTTGACACTAAGAATCTTGGGTAACAGTCCTGGTACATGATGTAATAGACGTGACATTGCGCATGGACATGGACCGTCTGATCTGGTTCCTCCATGACTTCTTCAATCATCTGACGCGTCTTGTGGTCTATGCTGACCTGAAATACAAACACAAAACTGATTATCACGTAAAATTTACTAAGCTACTTTTTCAGTGTATTTGAACGTAAACGAGGTATCAAAGGATCAAAAACTATTTTTATAGCATACAAGCATTCAATTTCATCTTGGAATCCTTTCCACGTGATAGAGCTCGAAATTTTGTCACATGATTTATATTATGGTTCACATCACAAGACATCCTGGTAGACCACAGGGATCTCGTAACCGGTATCATGGTTCATCCCAGTTCAATGATTTTGACACCGCCTCTTTGGCTATATATGAAACCTTGTTTATGTTCTAAATGGAAGTCATACTCAGAATTTTCAAATGATTCTCATACTGTGCATCTGATAATGGCATTCCTCATCAAATAACTTTCTGAATTTTCTCCACTCACTTTAATTTCTAGTATGGATATACATGTACATGAAATTTGCTTGTTTTCCCAGATAGTGTAACACCCCTCAAGACAATTGTTTTGATTGTATTGCTAAAATCTTAGAACCAAAACTGTAGAGTTACATGACATGATCTTGGGGGTAAGAACCTGTGAACTTTTTCTTTGTTTTGCACCCTTTGTTTTCCTAGGTTCTATTGTGTCGACTTCTTTGTTTCCTTTGTTTTACGTCACTCGTGAGTTTTACATGTTCTTACACCGAGGCGATCTTAGAGGGACCAACGAAAAGAAACAACCGCTGAGTTAGAATAATCACATGCAAAGTTATCTCACCTCACTTTCCTGTGCACGCAATATTTCTGCTCTTTCTTTTTCCAACTTTCTTTTCTGTGACTCAAAAAAACTTGCTAGATCGTCCGCCATTGCATAGAATTGTTTATAAGGCCAGCAATCGAACGGAAAATAACGATGAATAGGAGACATTGAACAATATGTTGTCAAGTGGACACAGTGGTTCGAGCAGGCCTTTCGCACTTTCTATCGCATCCCCGAAATGATACTGAAAAATCTCCAGAACTCCAATAACCAAATATCCAAACATTTGCTGTAGATTAGCGTAACAAACCACTTTTTAAACTTTTCAGCAAAATAACATTCCAAAATTGTTTTAAGTGATCCGCCATGTTTTTGGTAAACAATACCCATAACGCCCTTTGGTACATGAAAAAAGCTTATTTTTGATTGGTTAGAGCCAGGTGAGATACAACCCAATCAAAAACCATTTTGCATTTTGCAGTTGTGAGAGTCTCGTCATTTGGTTGTTTTTTTGGGTCTCTTCGAACGAGCGTAGTTTCAGGGTTGAAATAGGTGAGCAATCAATAGGCATTTGCGATGGATTTATACAAGGATAGAGCCAATAGTCTAAAGCTTATGAATGAAATTGAAAGGCTAATTAAAGAGGAGGACGAAGCTTTGGTGACTTTAAAACAACAAAGTGATATGCATACCAAGTCTTTTGTCTGTCATTTCGTTCTTTTGGCACTTCTGCTAGTAGTGGGAATGTGTTCGTTTACGTTTGTAGCTTACTATGGTTTTCAAAGCATGGGATATGATCAGCAGTCACTGAACGGAGGTTTGTTAATCCTTCTATTTACTCAGGTCCACAGAGATGCCAACCTAAAAATCTAAAATCTGGAGACGCTTCAGTTTGCACTACCCCCCACCCCCTCCCCCCATTGTCAATTGACCCGGCTACCTTGGCTTATGACATCATATGAAGTCTTACATGAATTCATGCCATCAAAATTCGCTTAACAACGTAATCTTTGTCAGTGACCAATTATACGTTTAAAAATGTCCCAGAAACCCGTACAATGAATAAAAAAACATTCAAATTTTGAGGAAAAAAATGAGCTAAATTTCAAGCTGAAGCACAGATAAGCTCAAAAGTCCATTTTATCCAGAAGATTTGGTGACCTTACGGAAGAGCGGGAGATCAGTGCCATATCTGGGAGACTTCCGGATAATCTAGGAGAGTTGGCATATATGGGTCCCCCTTTCAGAAGAGTCGTGAAACAATATAGACACTTTTGTTATTTCATGACATGGCAAGCCACAGGAGCTCAATGGGACTGTTATTCACTGATTTAAGTGGCTAATTCTATGGCTATTTTTTATTGTTTTAATTCAGGGTATTATGAGCTTGAAATCTTTCAAGATGAGGACAAGCCACATCACAGCACAATGGATAGGCCTCTACACCAGATGACGGGCAGGATTTCTAGTGCTAAAAGTTCTGCTCCTTATAATCCCCCTCCAAGATCAGAAAAGGCAAAAACAGGTGAGTCATAGAGAAAGGCTGTAAAAAATTCCCTGAGTCCCCGTGACGTGATTAGGGCAACATGCATATCTCCTTCTAGAGACTGCTAGTCAACCATGTCTCAAGCTTATCTTGGCCAAAATTGCATTTAGCCACATCAATTAAACTCCCCTCTTTAATTTTTATCTACAGCAAGGTACATTGTGCACAACACTATCTGGGGATCTATCTCAACTATCTCTGTGGCACTGAATGGAGCTCCTTTTAGTGTGGTTACGTCTTTCAGTGATGGGACTGTTGATAATAGCACAGGGATACCATACTTTTACCTGTCAAGTTTTGACCCTGTAAACAAAAACATTAAGGTAAACAACTGGGCAAGTCTGTCAGTTTCTGAAGCACAAAGTGATTACTGCAAGAAACATGACTGGGACCCAGAGGAACCACTTTGCTCTAGAGTGTCTCTCACAGGAAAGGTAAGTTAATAGCACTTTAATGTTTAAACCTTAGTGTTTTCCTTTTTCTGCCTTCAATAGATCTTGGCACAGTTTTAGAAGCCATCTTGATGAGTAGCCAAACACGTGAGAAATTACTGGTGTCAGTGTTTGTATGAGAATCTAATGTGAAATAATTTTCCTTAAAATGGCTGTTCTGAAAAAATATGAATAATGTACTGAAAAAAATTGAGGGCGTTACATGCAGCTATATGCACTAGAACCACTTTTTAAAATTTTCTATACAATTGTCTGTAAAAATTTTTCTTCCTGCCGACTAAAATTTCCTGGGAAAATTGCAGATAAATAATTATGTGGAAAATCTTAAACAAGTGTCTGGAGAGATTTAAGCACAGTAACAGCCCAAAAAATTTGTTTTTAGAATCGTTTGCTGTGTGGCTTTAGTTTACAATTCATTTTTTTCCAGAACAGCCGTGTTACGGAAATTATTTGACATTAGATTCTCATGCAAACACTGTAACATCTCACATGTGGCTTCCAAAACCGTGACAAGGTCAGGCAATAACAGCTCTCATCAATGTTAATCAGTGTTTTAAACATCATGCATCAACTAAAGGACTCTAATGTTTCATTCTTTCTTGTCTCTTAAAACTTACCGGTAAAGCTTGTTCATGTTGGCCCTGATGAGATCAAGTTTGCTCAAAATGCTTTGTTTTCGAGACATCCTGTGATGAAATCTTGGCCTAAAGGTCATGGTAAGTTATCACAAAGTTATCATTCTTTCTTTATACCTCTTGCACCAAATTTCAGGTCTTAGTTATTTTATAATATCAAGTGATGTCTTTGCGGCCATCATCAGTGCCTTCGCATATCATCGCTACTTTTGTCATTATACTGTTTTTTTCTTGTCACTGATGCATTTACTCAGTCTAGTAACCAAGTTATCTTCTTTTTACAGATTGGCAGACACTCAAACTTGAAATTGTCAATGTCTGGATGCAAGATAATTATGGCTCTGCTGATATCATTCCAGTGAAAGATTACCTGAAGATCAAATTGTAGTTATAGTCATTGAATGAAGAGGGCAAGTTTACTTTATTAGCGTCCAATCCTTTGAAAACATTTCAAACGTACAGAATGATTCCAAGTGTAAGAATGACCAGAAGCAACTAGAATCGTTTTTTTCCTACTACATTCAGAAATTAATTCAAGATCGAGTATAGTCAAACCATGTTAAAGGGGCTGTGTCATGGCAGTCCAGTTCATTTTGTTTAATTTTGCCAATTACTTACCCTCAATCGCTATGGAACTTAAAGTAAGCAAAGAAATTACATGTAAATGACAAAATCAGAGATCCGAGACAAACAAATATGTCTCCTGAGCATTATTTTTGAAGTTGCAAGCAACAGGGATCAACTTTGAAAAACTGTTAGGCTGAACAGTTTTCAAAAATCCTAATTTCAATCGGTTTCAATCTTGTTCACTTTTGTCACTTTTGCCCATCCGTGGCATCTGTTGTTTCTGTTATGTCATTTTAACCTTCCTTTAAAGTTTTAAGTGGTTATTTTTATGTTTCTCTTAATTTAACACGTATTTTGTTATTTGCTAATTTGGCTGAATTTCGTTTTCGTGACACAGCTCCTTTAATACAGACACTGAGGGGGACTGTAGAAAGGGTCCTTATTAATAGGGGGTCTGCATTAAGTGGGTTGAATTTAAAGAAACTTTAAGGGCTTCCTTTCCCCACGGACAAAGCAAAATGGCCGTTCCAGTGTGGTCTCTCTAGGAAGTATGGCTGACTAAGATGACGAATATAGAATGAGAGGTTTACTCCAGTGGCACATAGTACTAATAACTTCAGGAAGATAGTCTTCCTTGCAGCTGTTTTTGTCTGGTCACACAACCCTTATCCCTTCCTCCCCTCCTCTTCTTGTGGAGGAGCGGTGCGTGACCAAACCAAACAGCTGCTTGCGAGACTAACAGGAAGAGAAAGGAGGACTGCACTAGTCCACTGCTCTTAAAGGAGCTGTGTCACAAAATTTGTCAAAATTCAAAGAACTACCACCAAACTGAATGAAACGTAAAAACAATCAATGCTTACATTAAAAGAAGGAATAACTAACACGGCAAACTTGAAAGAAGATTTAAACGGATGCATTGTAGATTTTAAAAACTTGTTAGCATAACAGTTTTTTAAAGTCCATTTTGTTGTTTTTAACGTTTGATATAATGATCGGGAAGCCGATTTGTGGGATATTAAAAGCTGTTATTTCGTCATTTAGAAGTGTTTTCTCTGTGAACGTTAAGTTCCAAAGAGCATTAGGAAATGAGTTGAACTAAATGGCGTGACACAACCCCTTTAGATAAAATCTTCCAAACTGTAACACGGTAAAATAATCTCAGCTTTTAATGAGAGACACTGCAATTTACAGATCACCACGAAATACAACTAATTAACCATTACAATAACACAGAGGGCTAAAATTAAATAGTAAAACTGCTCGCACTAGAAAATTTGCGCGAGAATAAATTACAGTAAGATATTTTTTATAATTATATGAATTCCATTTATTCTATTGATATAATTTCGGTAAACCATTTACTCATTTTTTAAAACAATTCACACACTCTTTTTTCCCAAATTTTGCTTAACTAGTACGTGTATTTTGCAATGACCAAAACGAACACGCCTTTTAAGCCTTGCCCTGCACTACGCTTGCCCAATACATAAACCATTCGGCGTCTTAACTCTGACGAACACTGTTAAACCAATCAGATAAATGGTTTACGGTCATCTCACCAACCAAGAAGGTGACACGCCACCAATGAATAACTCTGAGATAATTGACACAGTTTAATACCTAGGATTACTTACCAAAGAGTTTTACGTTTTCGTCAAGCTTATTTGAATTTGACTTCGAAATCTGTTGATCCTAATTGACGATCCTTGCGTCGAACCTCTCATGCTCCCATTTGTGAGATTAAAAAACTGGCCGAAAAGTTTCCCAGTCACCTGTCATTTCTTTGAAATATGACAAAGAAATGGTTAAGAGAAAATGGCTGTTCATGAAAGTTCTTTTCATTTATTGTGTCTTCTTTGAACTTTTTAAGACAAAAAAGCTAAGTTCTAGTCTTGGTAACGATTTTGTTGGTGGCGAGGTGACCGGATATCAGATAAATACGTGAAGCAGGAAAGTACGAAGAATTTGGTTGCTGTTTTATTTCAGAGAAGAATCGAAGATAAGAAATGTCTTCTAGCAGGTTTTGTGGCGACGGCGTTCTTGATGGATTTTATTCACGTACTATGATAAGAATGTACCCGATTTGTAAATCAATTTTTGTATGTTATCAAAACCGGATAAAAATAATAAATTACTTCACAATACTTGCGTCTTCTAAAATTTGACACTTTCGTGTTAGCTACAATCATACTTTAACAAAAATATGAAAATGGTGTCTGCGAAAACAGTCCCTTTCCGCAAATTTTCTGCAAAAAAAAGGCAATAGGCAAGGAGAGAGGAATCATGCGATTATTCGATAAAGAGGACACAACTTAAACAATCGTGTACATTGATTCTAATTTTCAAAGGAAAATAGTCCCAATTTGTCGAATTTTTGATAAATTTTTATAATGGGAGGGATGAAATGGTCCAAGAAATATGGACTGTATTACTCATCGATGTTTCAATTTTCTAAACATTCTTGGTTCAATATTTACAATCTCCTATCTCAATAGGATCATAAATTCTTGTTGTGTGGTTGGGACCTTTGAAATAGACCATTTTACTGTTATGGGCTTAGTACCCTAGGCTTCGTGTCAAAGTGAGGCTAAGGTTGACCTTGTGTTAATGCAAACTAGCCTGCGTACCCCCTACCCCTTTGGACGCCTGCTACGCAGGCTAATGCAAACATCCTTTGTTTTCTTATGGAAATTATGCTGAAAAATACTAGTTAGCATAAGAACAACATGATTTACATAAGAAAGCAAGAAGGGTTGTGTCAAAACAAGGTCAACTCGAGCTTCGTTTCCATTTACAACTATAAAATGGTCTATTCATATACTGTAAGAGCAAATTGAGTGGTTGTGTTGAAACACGTCATCAGTCGCTACTCATCAAAAGTGCCTTGAATACATTTGACACTAAGAATCTTGGGTAACAGTCCTGGTACATGACGTAATAGACGTGACGTTGCGCATGGTCATAGACCGTCTGATCTGGTTCCTCCATGACTTCTTCAATCGTCTGACGCGTCTTGTGGTCTATGCTGACCTGAAATACAAGCGCAAATATCAGATAGGTTCTGTGCCACACTTTGCAGAGTGAACAGGTATTCGGATAGTAGCGGAAGTGGATTAGTAGGGGCGAGGACTGGAACCCACTGAGACGGAAGTAAATTTTCAGGAGTGAGGACTGGGGTTTAGTACACCGAACCCTCTAACCGAGATGTGTGAACGACTTGATCCATTACCGGGCCGTTGTTGTTCACACTACACCGAATATCCTTTCGTGACCACACGAAGAAAAGATATCCGGTATGGTGTAGACCTGGCCTAAATGATCTCTTCTTGAGCCGTTAGGCTGATTTAGCAACAGGAAGAGAACGTCAGTTGACGACAGGAAAGCGCGCAGAAAAGACTAAACGCTACTTCCGGTGCCCAATTTGCCGCTCTGCGATTGGTCAAGCCAGTTGTTTGATTTGCGCGCGCCGTCGTCAACTGACGTTCCCGTTCTGTTGCTAAATCAGCCTAATCTTTCCCTCTACGGTATAACCCAGCACCATTGTAAAATTCTGATCATTTTCCTGCACTCTCCAGTTTTCATTTCCGGCTTTGCAAGTTTCACAAAATTAGAATCACACTGCACAGTCGGTTCAAAGCGAAGCGTTCCTTTGGGATGATCCGGATCAGGATTAATGATCCAAGATCACTCAGATCATGGTGGATCAAAGGGAACCGCTAATTATAAACCCCATCTGGACGAGGGTTCATCGGTTTCTTAATGATCCTTAATTGATGCATCGTGATTCGAGTCTTCTCCAATCATAAATCCTCATCCTGATCATCCCAAAGAAACGGATCATTTTAAATAAGTCTTGCTTTTAGTTTATTTTAATCCCCCGGCTCCACAATAACTTTGCGATTTATAACCCATATTGGAGTACTGTGGGCAATTGGAACCAAAGGAACAGATTTTACAGATCGTCGCCAACATCTACGCTTTAAATACTTCAGGATTCACACTTGGCCACACTTCTTTTTATTACTTGCTGTAAAGCGGAGAAAACCATGAACCCTCTGAAATATATCTGCAATATTATTTTAAGTCATCGACAAGAGAAAAACCAATCAAGAGTCAAAAAACTAAACCACAAGTAACGACGGAAGTTAGTTCGTAGTTTTGTGGCTTGCTCGCGTGTCCTAATCTTTGCTACATAATATTGATACATGGTACATAACACCATAAACATTCCTGAAATATTCCGGGTGCTCACGGTTTTTCAAAGGGTGCGTTTCTTCATTTTTTTCCGGGTAGTAACGGCAGATCCAAATCCGGATGTCTGAATAAAAAAAAAATCAGGAAAAATCCCAAAACCGATCATGAATCCACAACATCCACACACTAAGGCGATTCAACTGATAAAACACAAAGCCGGATTTTGAGATCTACCGCCTTTTTTGGAGAGGATTAGCCGGCGGGTTGGTTAGCGCGAGCGAAGTTTTGGCAGAAGGAGTGCGGAGAATGGGGAGGCATGTCGCCCCTTGGGCGCTCGCTTCTCTCGGCAGCAGTCAAACGCAAAGACAGTTCAGCCAGCTACGCAGGCTAGGAGAGAATTGAAATAAAGTATCTTTGACGATTTTTTTCATTTAGAAATGGTGCACAACAGGTACCGTTAGTGCATGACCTTCTAACGGAACCGTGTTTTTGACGTCACTAACGAGGAGCCCGAGGACGTGATGTTGCCATTGCAAAAAGATCCTTATTTGGATTTCCCTTTTTTCGGTGGCGAAGAATTTATATGATCTGAGGCAAAACCGTTTTCGCGTACTCCGAAAAAAATGCGCTCTGAATTTGACAATAATTCTCTCACGAATATGATGCACGTGTTGTTGCTTACCTCTTTTGGAGACTCGGCTGAAAGATAGTCTCTGTAAATCGACTGCGCAAGTTCCTTGACTGCTACCTGATCTGTTTCCTTTTTGAGTTTCTCCACCGCTAACCAAAATAACAAGTTCTCCTCAGAGTACTGGGACTTGAGAAAGTCGTGGAAAATCATTACACCGGCTAGACAAAGGAAAACAAAAAGCAGAGCTCAAGTCATCCAACAGAACTCAAACAAAAATGCGAAAAATACGACTAAAACTCTTTCGAGCCTATTTCTTCAGGAAATCTTAATTTGTAAGTCTTTGCCTGTATCCCGTGCACGTTTGCACGGTAAAACTGCAATGGAAGTAAAAAATCGTTGGAACAATTATTGAAAACCTTCCTTCAACAGTAGAAACAAATATCAAATATCCAACTGTAGCATGAGATCCACTTTTGCAATAGTTTGGAGGCCACTAATGGCCCTCCCCTCCCGCCCCTCCAAACAATGTTGTGAATAACGAACACTTCAGGACAGGATAAAGTGTGAAGGGCGCACAAAATACAACACTGCTTAAGGACGAAGGGGGGGAGGGAGGGAGTCAATATAACTCTATCGTGTTAAGACTTTTGTTCTCCACTTTGGCTTTTCCTGGTGGCCCAAGGGAGAATTGCTTACAGAAAGAGCTAGCCTGCTGCTCCGACGACAAAATTTTCCCCGCTCTCGCACACGTGAGCCTGCTCGCGGGTTAAAAAAGAGCCACATAAGGTTCAGGGAATATGAATGAAGTAAACTTAAAATTTGGTCTTTTCACGTTGTAGTTTAGCAGGGACGGTGAAGAAATTAGAATTGTGTTTTAGGCGTTGCTCTTGCTGTCGTCGTCGCCCTCTCCCTATAAATAAAGAGGTTAAGAATCAAGATTACGGCAAACGTCAATTTCTACCACGTGACCAAGATTCCCCTTCAGCTGTCGCCGCGGTTTACTCGGTTCATTATGTCTACCAAAAACATATCGTTTCACGCCTGTTTCACAGATAAAAATTAGTTTGCACAGTTAAAATCTGTTCATTTCCTATTTTGTGACAAAAACATCGTCAACTTGAATCTGGCATTTGCCGATGGCCGTAAACGGGATTCTGAATCTCTTTTATTTCGCATACACCTCCGTACGCCTTAGTTATCCTTTCACACTAGGTGAGATTCTTACTTTTGCTTCGAAGTAGTTTTTCAAAGCTTATTCCCCACTCCTGCACTTCCTCTCTGCTTGGTCTGAAATAAAGAAGACATTACATAGTGATAACGGCATAGATTACAGAGTACAAATAACGTACGGAGGGTTAGAGACTTATGTCATCACATTTCAAAGGGGGAAAAACCTTTTTGTAGGTTCGATTTCCGCCGCACTCTCGGGTCCGCCCCGAGACTTTTTCGGCGGAGGAGCGCGGGCTCGTTTCCCGAACAGCGGTTGGTAATCAAGCCGAACCTTTTTGGAAAAAAAGAACAATTTTGATTTGAGAAGGATTTTCGTTTGCATAGTTATAATTTTGTGATATTACCATGAAGGCTGGAAACACTGCTTTAGCGCGAAAAAAAGAGAGTGCATGAAGCTGCATCCTTCCCAAGATACCGCGCGTGACAATGCAAGAGCAAAGAGAGACGCCTGGGGGCGAGTCAGTCGTACAGAAAACAAATGATCTGCAATCAGAGACATGGTGGTCAAAAGCTTCCGTTTGAAAAGGCACACTTGAGCACATTGCCTCCACATAGTCAGCCACATTATACAAATCAAGAGTCATATCTGGGTGAAAAGGAGACAGACTGCTTTTTAAACTGGTCATCTTTCCAATATTAAATAAAAGATCCCCATTTCGGCATTATGGCCGCGAGAAATGTGTATATTGGTGCCGACAATAGAAGACGTCTTAGAAGATGGCTCGTGTTGCAGTGAAAAAGGGAAATGGATAAATATATGTCAGGAAATGTTAAAATTAATTTTAAAAAAATAATCCCAGCAAGAAATATGAAAAGAAAAATTTATCAGAATGTCAGATCAGCTTAAATTGCTAGACACGATCTCTTCTTAACTCAAAAATTGAAACTTGCTTCGTGAAAAAAAAGGGTTGTAGGCATCTGTTATGGTAACCCAACGACGACCGTGCACTGTTTCTGTGATTAAGCAAAGCAGTGCAAGTAAGCACAATTTAAACCAGTCAATTCCAAACGGAGCAATTCTTTCGAAAGTTCGTGATATGTTTTCTTTTTTGTCAGTTATAAGAGTTAAGAAGTTGATCAGGACAATACTTCCTAGACGTCCCAGAAGGGTTGTTTTTTTCTTCCATAAATGTCACCTTTATGTCTGCTAGACAATATTTACACACGATATTGTATCAACAGAGACAAAAGTTTTGTCTGCGACGTGTGGAAAACAAATTAAAGGTCTCGCACTGATTGTTACAACCAAAATGTATCGAAACGACTTGATATTAGAACTGCAAGACTGAACATCACGCTTGATTAAATTTCTTCAACGTAAAGTGTTTCCAAAATCGAACACAACTTCTTTTGGGTGTGAACAAACTTAGTTTAATTTCACTGACTAGAACTTAAAGTAATGCTAACCAAACAGGACAAACAGTCTACGCAAGTGTGAAGAGGTGAATCGCCAAGTTGAATGGCTGGTGAATAATTAAGGTTAATATATCAGTATTTTTGCTTCGACGATTCTACAATTCCGGTGTGGGTTATATACGGGAAGGCATAACAAAGCATTGGTACGATATTCCCTTTCCTACTTTTTTAAATATAACACCAGATGATGATTATTTCAAGGAAAAAACGCTGCCGCGAATTAATCTCATGGAAAAACCATATGTTATCCTAAAACAACATGCCACAAATGGTTCCGCCGGTTTTAAAAAACATTATTTCAGTGATGAAAGAAGACCCACTTAACTTAAACATGTAACTAGGAGAGTGTTTCAGCAGTAGGAAACAAAATGTCCATGACTCGAGAACCTTTAGTCAGTGGGCTTTATTTCAAATGACGAAGTCAAACGTAAGGCAAGTGGAATTCGGTTCACAGAACGGCGGAACAGCTATTAAGATGCATTTTTAATTTGGTATCGTATGTTATGAGATCCGGCAGTGAGCCCGATCTCTCGATACGGTCACTACGAAAAACAATGGCATTTTGCCGCATTTTGACAATGCTTGAGTCTTATACCATCAGAGGTGAATGGACGGAAAACATTTGAATGAAAAAACATTTCATGAATTTTTACTTACTTTGGGTTGTATCTGTTGTTTTTCGTGGTATCCATGCTGCCGACTCTGAAGCGTCTCGCTGGGCTGTTATAGAAGACAAAACAGAAGACGAAAATCATATGAAATATTGGTCCACTAACAAAATCGTAATCAGCTGACGAAATCAAATAAAACAAACCAGTATCTTTGTTTTATATGGCAGGCTTGCGGTTTAGAGAAATAATTTACATTTCTAGGAGAAACATTCTTGATGGCGTGCTTCCGACACCAAGAAATCCCAAACACAATGCTAATGAATGATGGATTGCGAAAGATTCGAGCCGTGTTTCGGGTACCTTCCAGGGGTGAATGGTTTCGCATTCACATGCAATATATTATATTGACAAATTTTACCACCAAAAACTAATGCATTGTGACGCTCTGGGATGGTATTGAGGTCGTCGATCTAGGCTTTTAATTCTGTTTAATTTGACAGTCTTTAGCCTTAATCCTCTTAAAGAAAGGGAAAAAAGAGATTTATGTAGATTTAATTTGCCCTCTTTAAATACGAAGGTTATCGCAACACGAAAGCTCGAATGCTGAAAATGTTTCGACAGTGTGTTAACTCTGATGAAACAATTCAATTTTATCAGTATGCTTTCTGTTGTGCTGTTTGTATTTTAAGTTCACGCGACTCACACTTGTGATTTCATTTACGTCGTATGTGATCCTTATAAAACCAGGATTTATTCCTTAAACCACAATGTAAACTCGATTCTATCTACTGTCTTCGTACATTTTTACGCCTCGGTATAGCTTAGGAAAAATGTTTAAACATCAAAGCAATTAATGGTTAGTTTGAGCCAATGTTGATATTCACTATGAAGCATAAACGAGAGTTGAGCCGGTGGTGCAATTAATGAGGACACACAATGACAGCTGCAAATTTCTATTGCAGTAAACAGATTTAGTTGGAATGATTAAGCAAGTCCCATAAAATTAAAAATTATTGCAAAAAAGCGGTAAGCAGATTATTTCTTAAAAGTTCTTAAAACCACACCAATTTCTAATCAGCCGAAATTTGCAAAGATGAATATACCAGTTGTTAGCGAGACCTCAGTCATTTCCCAGCTCATCAGAATCGGGGATGAAAGTCTTAAACCGTACAGGTAATAATTTTTTTTTTAACAAGAGCGGTTACTCTGGCTTTGTATTGCAACGCTTTGTGATTGGCTGTAATATCTCGCGCTACTTTGTCAACCAATCAGAAAAAAGACAAAAACCAAATCAGTTTACCCAAACTTGGGCACGTGTCTTATTAAGCATTGTTTGGTTTTCTTACCAAATTTCTGTTCGCGTAACAAATTACTCCTTCTTCCCTTCCGAGTACAATATTGAACATTTTAAGCGAGGTAAAACTGCAGAGAATCTATCAATGAGCAACTGAAATATCTCTTCTCTGACTGGTCTGTTGGACAAATGTGGACTTTTCTAGAAGACGGACACCTTTCTAGAAAAGAGACTTCGAAGTTGTCCCTGCCGTTCTTCGATTTGTTTTCTTTTCTTCTCATTGAGAAAAACTCTTAGAGATTGCCCCAACTATAACGCGTTAAAGAGAGTCAGTCGACTGTCTCGCTTGTTTGTAAGGAAGGCCTTTGTAGGAGCGCCAAGCGGACACCGCCAATTAGAGGTTTGTGATGGTAGCGTTTTAAGCTTCAACAGAAGACAAAGAATTTATTTCTGAATTTGTTTAGTCTAAAATAACGTATTATGCACGTCTTTGGAATTCCTCATTTAAACGGATCTTTTTTGAAGTTCTTTTTTGCTCACTGATTTGTTCAGAAACGCGGGATTCCGTCTGCAGAATGCTTTTTTTTAACCGTGCCACTCTATTATCTGGATTATTTGGATTAAGATCAAAATTGATGGCTCTGGCAGTTCACGGTATTTCATCTGGCAAGAAAGGATAATTATATTTATCACCAGAATTTCACAATTCTTGACCTTGATAATAGTCCATTTTCCTTTCATGGTTATAAACTATGGGAGAATCTTTTTAGTTCTTTAAACATCGAAAATATTTCATCAACCAAACTTGCACCTGCATAGACTATTAAATATGGTATTTTTTTAAAAAAAGGAGCATTTGTTAAAAAGATTGACAGAGTAACAGTATATTATATAGAATATTTTGTGAAGTTAACCTGATATGTTGTATATACCTCCAATTGTAATTTTAGTCCTTTTCAAATAACAAAATCCCCTCTATATGTAAGGTGTTTCTATCTGTATGTTTTTATATTTCTTTTCTTTTTTCTTATGTAATTTAATAACGTCTTTATTTAAAGTCTTGTCCTGCCTAGATTAGCATTATAGCTATTTGTAGGACATAAAATTGTAAACTTTATATTTCTTTAAATAAATACATTGTTGTTGTTGTTGTTCTAAATTCTGTGAAGACGTTCTCGGCTATTTTGCTTCCTGGTCTGCCAAAGGTATAGTGTTTGCCATGGGTTTTTAAACAGTACTCAGCCTGCGGGATTATATTTAACGCGCAAGGCCTGAGACAAGTCGAGTTGAACTCGGTGTGAGTTTATTTTCGGGAAGAAGGGCCGTCTGATCGCAGGTCACTCCCTACGGCGATATTTCGGTTTGCAACACAAACAATCTAGGGGAAAGGCGGGGTGGGGGAGGGCTAAACAGAGAAATACGAGTACGAGATGAACGTTGCATATGCGAGATTTTAAATACAGATAACAATAGATAAGCGCCCCGTTGGTACATACGAAATCAAGTTGGCCGCTCGATACTGCAAGCCCTCGATCTCGACAACCTTTCAGGCCGTTGACGGTCAATTCTTTGATTACTGTTACTAGAGCGTTACTCTTTAAATTTTGTAAAAAGTATTTGTATGCTTGTGCTTAACGCTGCTATTTGTAGACTTAAACCAAAACCATGCAGCCCATGCAGTATCTTGCAAAATTATAACAATTATCTACCGGGGCTGTGGGCAGCGGTGCGTCATAATCTGACTCGTCCCCAGTCGTCTCTTATAATTTTTAAGAGGTCACAGAACGGTCGCTGGAGACTATTACGGCATCTCGGCGAAGGGTACGATAGCAAGAAAAACCTGTTCCCTCCTTCCCATCTCCCCCCTCGCGCATCCTTCACGCGCATCCCTCGTTAACATTTAATTAGGAGACAAAAGAGACGACTGGGGACGAGTCAGCATCACACTGACCGTGACCTTGATAATTATCGTAATGTGCACTAATTCACTACCATGGACATAGAGAGTTTACGGATAGGTAATCCTAAGTGGACTCTCTCCCGACTTAACTTCAATAGTATAATAGTATAATCTGTCTGTCTTCAGTCCCATTTGCACGATATGTGCACCTCACTGTTACAGTTCACAGGGAAAAATGAATTGTAGACCGTCAGTTTCAGACTATTTTGGCATCAATCGAGTTATTCAGCGGACGGCTTTGTTTAATGCAATAAATAGATGGATGATTTTTAGTGTTTCTGTGGATTTAGTTCGGGAAGTGACGGCTTTGTGAATGTTTCACTACTTCAAGAGTCCTCAAGTGGTACTAAAATCGGAAGAGGCTGTTTACGGTGTGGGAGCGACCGCTATTGAAAAACAGCTGTAAAGCTCTTGAGCAGTACGTATCTCCAGTGTTCCCAACCTCTTTATACGTTACTGTGCAAATTAACATTTCAGTGAGTCTTGACTTGGCCTGCATGTGTACAGTTATTTGGCAGACACTGCAGGCTGCTAAGATCTGCTAACTGAGCCGATAACGGTGGATATTAACCGAAACGATACTAAATCATTATGTCATTATACTGATGTTTTGCAAAAAGAGATATAATTTTTCGCCCTGCTGGATTTCGGCTCTCAGTCAGGTACGGTTGGGTGTTAAAAAGAGATTACGTTTATCGGCTTACCATGGAATTTGGATGAAGGAATAAAGGAATTAAATTTAACAACATGTAGAAGCCATTTTAAGTTTAACCTCAGTCATCGTATCATTATTCATTCAAAACATTTTTCTTTTTCTGATTGGCTCAAACCCCGGCTACTTCTTCAAAGCCGGTCGACGTTGACCAAATTTGGAAGACGTTTTCGATATCCAGTAAAATGTCATCAGTATTAGAGAATATCGACAGAAAAGGGACAGCAAAACGAGAAGTCCCTGGGGACAAGGTATCCTTCTCGACGAGCCGATTATATCCTCCTCGATCTACATAATTCTTCATATCATACGAAAGCCGAATCCAATAATTGCTATGTCATTTTTCAAGCCCCTCGTTACTTCAAGAAAGCCAAACAATAGGAGAGAAACTAAGTTTTGCTGTGGGAGAATTGAACGGTCAGAATATTGGGAGAGATGTAGTGTTCGCCGGCTGTTCACCAGTCATATCGCGGTACGAGCATTGAATCGGCTCGGTAGGACATATCCCAGAATGCCGCATGGGCGCGGTGATTGATCAGATGGAAGAGTTGAGCCATTAGCTAATAAGTACTGCATACTGTTAGGATCAGCGATGTGAAAACATCCTAGGTGGTGTTTTAAACGTCAGAGTTCTAGCCACTAATTTAATTTTCCAAAAATATAAGGAGTACAATGGCAACTGAGGCAACTAAGTCTCAAAATTAAGACTGCGTTGGAGAAGACGTTGGAGAACTACGTTGATTCAAAGATGCCACTTGGCCTGGTCTAAATTAGCCACCGTTGACGGATTCACGTTGTTTTCAGCGCTAACCCTCCGTTGAAGCGAATCTCTTATCAGGGTACGTGTTTTCATTGAGAAGAACGCTGTATGCAGATTAGGTCACGTGAACGCTGGAATGCGAACGCATTTCAGTTTTTACGTCCCGTAGGAAAACTATTGCATAAAAGTCTTAGTTAGTTAACCTAATCATCTGTAAGACACTGAGGAAGAAAGAAAGGCTGAGCCTTTCAAATATTGGTAAAAGAGAAAAAATTGTATAACTCCCAATTGTCACATCAGCTTTGCTTGTTTCTGTTGTGCATGAACAGTGCATTTCTGAGCAGCCCGTGATTGTAATAACTTCCACTGATTACATATCTCTACCAAAAAAAATCATATCAATTGATATGTTGATATGGTGATTTGCTTTAACTTTTGACTTTTGACCATGGTGAATTAACGAAAAAGAAAATTGTTATTGATCAAATTTTCCTTATGATATTCTTGATGAGACTGACGTCAAAATATTCTTGATCAATGAGATGAAAACTGATAAGTAACGAACTTTTCTGTGTTGCTAAATTTATTATGTCTAAAAGAAAGTTTTATTCGCAGAAAATGCGGCTGAGTAATCTTGCGTTTTCTAAGCCCGTAGAATATAATGCTGACCTGCAGAGAGAGAGGTCGTGGGATTAGATCTCCGGGGCCGGAACAATATTATAAAGAAAGACGATACAGGCTTCCTTACAAACGGCCAATCCTTCACGTGGTTCGTATGCCCACTAGAAATGGCAGTCCAGTCTCCAGGTAGGAGACATAAAAATAGTATTCTCAATTAGAACCTTCGCGCTAAATACATTGAAACTTGAATAAACGAAAAAAAGAAAAAAACAACGTTAAAGACGTTATGAGGGCAGCCCACCTTTGTGATTTCATACATCCTGAGTAGCGAAGTACATGAGGAGCCTAAAACATATCACTAGCATAGAAAATTAAGCTTTCCAATCGGAGCAAAAAACATTACTGAGATCCTCAAAAGTAATTTAGGCTCAGTGATATGATAGAAGGATCAGGGAACCAAATAAAACTGAAGTCTGATAGTCGAGGCTTGAGCCGTTTAAGGCTCTCAGCAAGCGTCAATTTAAAAACCTCTTCATATAATGAGGTAATATCTTATAAAGAGAAAAAAAAACAAGTACAAGTGCAATTAATGCCTTCCTGTTGGGCGCCGTTTTTCTTCCATATAAGAACGACAGTTCTTAACTTGAGAATGTAAAGGAAATTGTTCAAATCACTGCCTAAATTTATTTGATGCCATTCAAATGAAAACGATAGGAATAGTAATTTTCTGAGGTGATTTCTGACGTCGGGCAGTGAAGTCTGTTTTAAATGTTTTGATGTTCCAAAAAAAACAGTACGTACTTCGGTCCTGAGTTACGGTTTCTTAAGAGAAGCTAAGAGATAAAGTTTAGACTTTGTAGGTGATAATCCACAAAGAAAGGCTGATAAAAGCAAACATGTGCAGCAGTGCTTCTGTGAGGTACGATTTCTGATTCTGTATTTTGTTAAGTCTTTTGCCTCTTTCTTATTTGCCCACTACATGAATAAAAGGGTTCTAGCGGCAGGAAGGTTCTCTGGGAGTCTATTATGATGCATGAAACCTATTGAGCAGTACTCCCCTGAGGTACGATTCCTAGTGTCGTTTAAATTAGTCACGTGTTGTCAGTTAAGTTTCGACAAGAGAGAATGTGCTCATTCTCTCTTGGTTTTGCCGGAGACTGTGTGTAAGGAACCCCCGGGGTAAAGAACTGCTGAAGAGGTTTCATCGACTTCGTCCTCAGGGCTTGAAGAGAAAAGCCCTGGGAACAAGTGCGCGCGCAGTGCGCACGCGAACCAGCGTCATTTTGGCGGGAAACCGTGAAACCTTTCGTCTTTTACAACATGTCGTAGTGGCGGAAACAAGTTATTAAAAGTTAGAAGTTTTATCATTTTGCGATCGGGAGAGGGCTCAGCCTCCTTCAATAACAATAAAAGTGATAACTTTGCTGGTGGAAAAAGTACTATGAAGCTTTCTGGCCGGGAGGCTACTTTTTGAGAATACGTGAAAAAACTTTAAGTGAAATATAATACTCCTGTGGTGCTGTTTACGTATCACACTACACAACGTGATTCTTTCTCAAAAGCCCGTTGAGATAATCGTTCATGAGCTACCGTTATAGTACACTACTCACAACAAGGCGGAAATCCAAACCCTTGCCCTTTTGATCTCTAGAACCCTTATAAAGAGCAGAATATAAATTTTCACTCGTAGCTCCGCGATGAAGTCACGAGAATAACATAGCCGCTCCGATTTGGGGGGAAATTTTCTCGGTGAGTAGCACAAGAGTGTATGGATATCGGTATGGAGAATACACGCGTTGATATTTAGGGTTTAAGAATAGGGAATTTTTTTTTCAATCGAAACTTGACACTTGCTCAACACCCGGGATGTATTGATGACTTTCGTCACGCTACGATACATTTTTCAATGAAGCATTTCTCAAAGTGAAGAGTATATTGTCTTAGCAGTCGTTTGATAAAACTACTAAAACCGTTCAAAAGAAAAACACGTAACAAATCAGTGGTAGGGCAAAACGAAAAATACTGAAAAGCGAGGTTGACTTGACGGCCCGGTCTTAATTACTTTTACTTTGGCGGTATTGTACCTTGGTTTTCTCTGCGATACCGGAGTTAGTTTCGTAGTTCGCCAAGACGATCAATCTAACTTTCGAGTTAGTTTTGTTGTCAGTACTTAGAAATTCCCGAATTTCGTCCCAGAAAAGTCGGATATGAAATGGTTTATGCTTTACATTAGTCGGCGTACGTGGTTTAAAGATTGGCTATTGGAATAATCAATATATGCTAATTTTGTGATATTGGTTTGTTTCTCCGTTATTGATCATTAAATCCAGAAACACTATATCAAATACACTAGACAAAAAGTTTCGTGATAACTTGCCCAACTCGAGCATGGTCCACTAAAAAAACCTGCCCTTTTTTTTCCAACTTTTGTGTCACTGTTTGAAATACCGGCAAATTATTCTTTCGAGTTCAGTTGAAACATCACTTCAACCAAACGAAAGTACAAAATACTAATATAACGACTTCAGAGGACCCACATCAGAAACAAAAATTAAACAGCGGGTGCTGTTCAATTATACCATTATTTAACAAATACACAGATTTACATATTCCGTTCTAAACAAAAGAAACAACGATATAATTCATTAGTAATAGTGTCAAAACTCTGTCACCTCAGTGTCCGGAGAACACTCTGGTTTTGTTTACAGGCTAGTTTGAAATTTGTCAATAGTGACTGTTTATAATTTCGTTATCGTGTTTTTGTGAAATCACGTTAAGTCTTAAAAGCCACAGGCATACCACATTAACACTGACTTACTCTGGCTCGAAGGTATCAAGGGAATCNGAACACTCTGGTTTTGTTTACAGGCTAGTTTGAAATTTGTCAATAGTGACTGTTTATAATTTCGTTATCGTGTTTTTGTGAAATCACGTTAAGTCTTAAAAGCCACAGGCATACCACATTAACACTGACTTACTCTGGCTCGAAGGTATCAAGGGAATCCTCGCTTCTTTCTCTCGATAGGAAACCGCAAGTCCATTTCATTTTTGAAGGTTTCTCGTGAGGTTCGCTGTTACGCATAAATTTGCAGTGTAGAGTGACAAGGTTGAGTTATAATATTGTCGCTGATAGTACCGGAAGATAGATAAGACCTCTGCGAACTTGAACTGCAATCTCGATAAACTCGATTTTAAACGTGCACAAATATTTCGTCTAGTTCCGTCCTTGTCGTTGAGAACGCATAACACTTTCGAGCTAAGATTAAAGTTCGGTGCGTGTGTTTGTCATGGGTTTTAAAAGATCTGACAGACAGGAAGCGACAAAAATAGAGTACGTACTTGACAGCTGACCTCGCTTTCCTGACACGCCTAAGGTATTGAAGTGTGTTTCGGGGTTTCGAAACATTTGGTTGAATGAAGAGTGTTGAGCGAAATGTTTGAGTGGTCTTTTTCGTTTACGAAAACTATCTAGTATTTTCTATCTTTTATTATGCCTCGGTCATGAGTAGTCTCAGAAATTAAAGTGCTTGAACGCCGCCTCAAATTTCAACGTTTCGCCACTTCTGTTGTATGAGATATCAGCCTTGCCATTGTTCACTCTTCACTTTCTTTTGCGTTCTCTTTTGAAAACCAATAGAAAGACTAAATTCTAAATTAAAAGAAAATGTGGAATGTAAATTTGTGAAAGGGATAGATAAAACCTCACCCTGGACGGAAACGAGAAGGCAGCCGCCCATTAAAGGGGCAACAATTTTTAGAGGGAGGGCTACACGTCATAGAACGCAGACACATGAATTCCTGTGAATAGCCATGATGCGCGGGGTAATTTCACCCACGAAGATAGACCATTTAGAAATTATTATTTGGCCTCTTTTATAAATAAGACATGCTTTCTTTGAAAAGTTGCAAAGTCTTGACTCCGTTTTTAATCAAAAGGCAGTCTGTTCGTAGCCTCCCACGCCGTCGTTTTTAAGGGAGCTCGTTTGATGAAAAACGAGCTCCCCTAAAAACGCCTACGTGGGAGGCTAGTCTGTTCGGAGAATAAATCAGTTTACATGCAAACTAAAAAAAAACCTTGTTTGGTGAAGTTAGGAGTTGTGTAGGCAACTGCAATTCCAGGACTAGACCTAATAACTCTCAGTGATGATGGATTTGTCTTAGCTTACAGTAACTGATTGCAGGAAAGGGCACGGTGTCCGCAAATGCGACCATAGGCGGTGTTTCAGGAAACAATGACTTAGAAAAACGTTCCGCCGCAAAAAAGAACTCGGGGGGGGGGGGTACTTACTAGTAATAGGCTAATAGGGTTTGCCCCTGGGTGTGGTCGCATTTTCACGGCTAGATTGACTATGATCAGGAGCTCCTGCTATGATAAGGTTGTATTTTCGTTAGAGTTACTAGAGTGGGATCGCACATTTTCGGGATTTGGGGGATCAGAAAATTCAGGTAGGTAGGGATTTAAAAATGGGAAGATTTTTATTTCATTAAGTTTAACCAATGTGTCAATTCGTTTCAGTTTGACCTAGTTAAAAGGCTTTATAAGGTAAATGGAAACAGAAGGTTACTTAGTTGGAATCTCGAAAATTACATTTTCCCAAAAGTGACTAAGATAGGGTCTATATTTGGCAACAGAATAGACTTTAATGTGGTAGGGATTCTGAGAGGCCAGCGGCACATACCCAGCATAAATTAACCCAAGTAACCCCCCCCCCCCGGGCAAAAACTACTAAAGAGAGTTAATAAAGTTTATAAGTGAAAAACAAAAACAAAAGCAAAAACGCGAAAGCGAATTGCCAGAACCTGAAGAAGAAAGGAAGTGCCTCTCGAAATATTGGTTTTCCTATCGCGAAATCAGCCGATTACTTTTTCTTTTGCTATATCACTTGATTGGTGGTCACTATCTTACATTGTTAAGTCTTAGTTAATTAGATCCCGATTAGATCCTGACGATTCAGTTCAACCTAAACTAAGACGAAGAGGGCTAATTAGCGTGAGAAAAACCTAAGAGAGTGTTTTCCGTCATTTCGGAATAACCCAGTAATGTATTTTTCCGTGACGTTGGTCCTTAATTTCTCACTCAATTAACTTCAAATTATTCAATCCCAAGGGAAAAATTCTACAATCCAATCAATTGTTTTTTAATTGGCTTATTATCTTTATTAATTATTGGTATTAATTGTAACTTTATCTTAAAGCTTTTGCAATACTGTAACTTCATATAGTCATGCAAATAAAGCTAAAGTTGTTGGTTAACTACAGAGAGAATGAGTACAAGCTTTTGGCGTGGCGATACTTGGATCATGTGGGTGAACAATATGGGCAATGATTGCCGGGTTACAGGCGGCTATTGGATACCATCAATCGACCATACGAGACTACCTTAGAAATCGCTGCACCAAGAGCTTGTACCCACTCTCCCTGTGGTTATCAAGTGGCTTGACCATTCCGAGGTTCGGTGGAAACTGGCGCAAACTTCGTCCACCATTACCACCAAACCACTTTGACCTCAGTCAGACCCCTTATTTCAAGGCCGTCTTTCCAGTAATGTCGACAGACATTCGCCAACTGCTCTTTGATTTTTTTTCCAAAAAAGCCGTGAGGGGGTCTATCGATTTACAATACAGGCTCAACTTACCAGTACCAGTCACAAGAGCAGCAGAAACACCAGCAGAGGCAGCAGTAATCTTTCCGTCTCGAATTCAATCCACGTTCGACTTCCTCGAACTCGAGAGTGGCTTTCTTGATATTCGTCTCCTTGAGGTAAATTTCCAGCTGCGTGTTGGTCTGCAGAAAGTTGAAAAAGGAATGTACAATCCAAATTTCAGGTCACAACTAGGCTAGAACTATTGGAGGGTACACTCGCCGATGCGTGGAATTATTGCCCCAGGGCAAAGGGAGGAATAGATCAGTTCAGTCATAGTCCAAGGTCGTAGCAATCCACAATCAATAGTTTACCAGCGATTTTCCATATAATACAACTCCACCTACGAGTCCCTCGTTTATAGAGTCTTTATGGGACCATCTCAGCTGTCATTCCACATTCATGCGGACCTAACGTTTACTAAACTTTTCCATTTCATTTCCAGCTTTTTATAGCCCAAAGGTGGTGTGTACGCTTTACTACCAAAATTGAAAGTGTTGGCACCGCATTTTCAAGCTTGATTTCACTTCCCTCCAACCTTTTCTTTCAAGTTATAAGCCTGAGTCAAATCACAGGGCGCCCACACAATCTGTTTGTGTAATCAATTGTAATCAGTGGTAATCACTATTAGTAAATACCCTTGGATTTACTGTTTGCTTTATCTGTAGTCGTATATCGCTAAATATGTAATGGATCAATGTTAAATAAACGTTGTATTACCTTCCTTGCCGTTTATTGTCGTCCTTTTGCCTCAAAAGAGGTATTTTGAGTAATTTTTAAGGAATTTGAGTTTGCCGTTTACTTTTCCTCTCAAAGAGGAATTAGCAAAATAGCAACTACGATAGCCTCGCAATAGCGTTGCGAGTAAAGTTCAACTCACCCTTGTCCTGTCCTCAATCGGTTCACTGAAGTCGTAATACCATGATGAATCGTGCCTTCGGCTCTGAATAGATTCGCTCTGCAAGGTAGATGTGATAGATATTCAGTAACAAAAGTGTGCGCGATACCCAACGAAAGTACAGTGAAATCCGTGTATAAAACGGTCACCCTCGGGAAATGGCCAAGTGACCGTTTATATAGATTTCTCTTAAATTATACCGAAAGTTTGGGAACAACGCTTTTTTTGAAAATAATAACTCTATTCACAGATTCAAAAATGAGATCTCTTAGCAATAATTTCCCTCGGTATTATTTACAGGGTGTTAGAAAGTAAAATATGGTGCTAAGAAAGGAAAGGTTAAAAATCTTTTTTCTCTTTTTGCAAAAGTTATCAAAAGAGAATTGTCAAAACTCGTTATTAATATAATATTTTACCATTATTGTTTTTACAAAAGAAAAATCTGTACAAAAAAAAAACAAAATAAAATAAAATTGTATTTTAAAATTGGTTCTTGGGTTCAGTTTTATCTTTTCGCGTTCTAAAGTCTTGAAGTCGACTGTGACGAACTGTTTATAAGGCGCGAAGTACCAATTCGTCATTCATGGATTCTCGCTCTGGTAGTTGTTTGTACATAGTGCTTTTTTCGGTCACACCAAAAAAATTCATTCAAATGTTCGGATAAAAATACTCATCGTAGAGGGCGGCATTTTTATTAATTCTAATTCTAAAAGTTTTAAGGCTGACAAAAATGTATGAGTGGTATAAAAACAATGCATGCAAGTCAAAAGTTTTAATACAGCAAAAAATGATCCTCTACAACGCTGTAATTTATTAGGGATTTAATTTGTTTGTTTGTTTTTTAACTTTGAGTTTAAGTCATTTTTGTTTCCTCTGATCGGAAATGAAATTTTTTTTCCATGAAAATGTCACTCAAATGCTCGAATAATGCTCAATGCTTTTGCCTCACTTTAAAAAATGCTTGAAAAAATGCTAGCATAATGTAGAAAAGCTTACACTCTGGATCTTTCGCTTGACCTGTGCATACTCACACCAATTTCTAATCAGCCGAAATTTGCAAAGATGAATATACCAGTTGTTAGCGAGACCTCAGTCATTTCCCAGCTCATCAGAATCGGGGATGAAAGTCTTAAACCGTACAGGTAATAATTTTTTTTTTAACAAGAGCGGTTACTCTGGCTTTGTATTGCAACGCTTTGTGATTGGCTGTAATATCTCGCGCTACTTTGTCAACCAATCAGAAAAAAGACAAAAACCAAATCAGTTTACCCAAACTTGGGCACGTGTCTTATTAAGCATTGTTTGGTTTTCTTACCAAATTTCTGTTCGCGTAACAAATTACTCCTTCTTCCCTTCCGAGTACAATATTGAACATTTTAAGCGAGGTAAAACTGCAGAGAATCTATCAATGAGCAACTGAAATATCTCTTCTCTGACTGGTCTGTTGGACAAATGTGGACTTTTCTAGAAGACGGACACCTTTCTAGAAAAGAGACTTCGAAGTTGTCCCTGCCGTTCTTCGATTTGTTTTCTTTTCTTCTCATTGAGAAAAACTCTTAGAGATTGCCCCAACTATAACGCGTTAAAGAGAGTCAGTCGACTGTCTCGCTTGTTTGTAAGGAAGGCCTTTGTAGGAGCGCCAAGCGGACACCGCCAATTAGAGGTTTGTGATGGTAGCGTTTTAAGCTTCAACAGAAGACAAAGAATTTATTTCTGAATTTGTTTAGTCTAAAATAACGTATTATGCACGTCTTTGGAAT